CAATGATGATATCAAACAACATATTGCATTAGGCAAATCTGCTGCACAAGAACTTTTTAAAGTACTGAAGAGCAGTAAGGTGAAGAGTCAGAGAAAAAGAGGAAGACCCCCAACGAGATGGATTGGCACATTGGTGACAGCAATGGGCTCAAATATGACAATGATTGTGAGGATGGTGCAGGGCGGGACAGTGTTTAGTTCTGTTAGACCTAGACTCATCAGTTGTAACCCATTAGGTCTATAGGAGGCCTGGGGATTAGGTTGCAGACCTCCCAGAAAATAAAAATAAAAACCCACTTATAACTTACTATTGACCCTTGAACAACACAGGTTTGAACTTCATGAGCCTACTTGCATGTGGATATTTTGCAACACTGTGTGATGCTAATCCTCCCCGGATCTCTCCAATTAGAGGGATAGAAGGTGGAAGGTGTAGTAGTAACTGCAGATGTGAACTGCTCCCTTTGAGATGATTAGTGTCCCATGACTTTTAGGTGGACATCTGCAACACTTGAACTCATTGCAATAGCAACAAAAAATGTGCATATAAATGGATCCAAGCTTTTCAAACCCACCTTGTTCAACAGTCAACTGTATATACAAGGGGACTTTACAAAGTTTTTGAAAAAATAAAATTAACAGATAATGAAATTTTTCCATGAAGTTTTTGAAGGCCCTCGTATGTAATTTTCTGATTATATATTTAAAATGAATCATTACCCAGAGTCCCTCACTCAACAGTGAACTCCATGTATCTATAACACATATCACAGTGCCTAGTGCAAAACTGAATTAATGAATAATCATGCGGGCTATTATTACAATCATTTTACAAGTAAGAATCCTGATAAATAGAGAAATTAATATTTTTCACCTAAGCATATGGCTATAAATAACCAGGTAAGGAGTGGAAAAGAGTTCCTCAATACCTAATGTCAAATACATTCCAATAACCCATGTAACATTTTAATCATTGGAAGCTTACACACAGTTTGGAGTCCTGGTATACCACCGTAGGACAAACACTGGACTGCTAACCATAAGGTTAGCTATTCAAACCCACATGCTAATCCTCTGAAATCCTGTTATGGTTGTAGTTGTTAGGTACCATCTAGTCAATTCCAACTCATAATGATGCCATGCAAAATAAAACAAAGTGCTACCTGGTCTGCGCCCTCCTCAATTGTTGCTACACTTGAGCCCATAGCCACATCCACTGAACCAGTCCATTTGGTTGAGAGTTTCTTCTTTTCACTGACCCTTCACGTTACCTAACATGATGCCCTTCTCCAGGGACTGGTCCTTAATTCCATGTCCTCTTCTGTTTAATTCCATGTCCTCTTCTGAAACAGGATTGGATTTCGAAATGTTCCCTGTTGAAATACCATTGAAACCATTTGAGAATTATCTTCAGGAAATTTTTCATTGTGTGTGATATTAAAGATGTTAAATGATTCCTATATTCCATTCAGTCACTACTCCTTAGAATTTTCGCAAATATGGATCTCTACAAGTTGGTTGATTTTTCCCATGATGTTGCTGTTATTAGGTGCTGTCAAGTCGGTTATGACTCACAGCAGTCCTAAACACAATAGAGGGAAACACTGCCCATCATGCACCATCCTTACCATTGTTGTTACAAGTGAGCCCAATGCCATTATCAGTGGGCAAGACTATCTCATTGGGGGTCTTCCTCTTTTTTGCTGATCTTCTACTTTGCCAAACATGATTTCTTCTTCAGGGACTGGTTGCTCCAGATGACATGCCCCAAATATGAGAGAAAATGCCTGGCCATACTGACTTCTAAGGAGCATTCTAGCTGTACTTCTTCCAACACAGATATGTTTGTACTACCGGCTGACCATGGTACTTTTAATATTCTCTTTCTACACCATAACTCAAATGCATCAATTCTTCTATGGTCTTCCTTATTCCTTGTGCAACTTTCACATGCAAATGAGGCTGTTGAAAATACCATGGCTTGAGACAGGCGCACTTTAGTCCTAAAACTGATATCTTTGCTCTTGAACACTTTAAAGAGATCTTGTGCAACAGATTTTCCTAAAGAAACATGTCATTTAATTTCTTGACTGCTGCTTCCATGAGTGATAATAGTGGATCCAAGCAAAATGAAGTCTTTGAAAATTTCAACTTTTTTCAATTTATCATGATATTATTTATTGGTCCATAGGTGAAAACTTTTGTTTTCTTTACATTGAGGTGCAACCCATATTGAAGGTTGTGATCTTTGATCTTCATCAGTAAGCATTTTAAGTCCTCTTTGTTTTCAGCAAGTAAGGTTGTATCATCTGCATATCACAGGTTATTAATGAGTCTTTCTGCAATCCTGAAGCCATGTTCTTCTACATATAATTCAGCTACTTGGACTATTTGCTCAGTACGCAGATTGAATAAATACTGTGAAAGAATTCAAATCTGTGCACACCTTTCCTGATTTTAAATCATTCAGTGTCTATTGCCTCTTAATCTGCATACAGATTTCTCATGAGACCAGTTAAGTATTCTGGAATACCCATTCTTTGTAATGTTATCCACAGTTTACCATGATCAATACAGTTTAAAGCCTCTACATAGTCAAAAAAAAAGCACAGGTAAACATCTTTCTGGTCTTCTCTGTTTTCAGCCAATATCTATCTGATGTGAGCAATGATGTCCCTTTTTCTATGTTCTCAACTGAATACAGCTTGAACCCCTGGCAGTTCTCTGTCAATGTACTTTTGCAGTCATTTTTAAATTATCTTTGGCAAAATGACATTTGCGTGTGATATTAATGATACTATGCAATGGTTTCCACATTGCACTGTGGCATTTATCTTTGGAATGAGCATAGATGTGGAGCTCTTCTTGTCCATTGGCCAGGTAGTTGTCTTCCAGATCTAGGTATAGATGATTGAATGCCTCCAGTGCCATGTCAGTTTGCTGAGAGATTTCAGTTTGTATTCATTCATTTCCTGGAGCCTTCCTTGTTCTTTTGCCAATGTCTGGGACTTCTTCCTTCAGCACCATTGTCTCTTGATCATATGGTTAAACATCAACTATTTCTTTTTAATATAGTGGTTCTGTGTATTCCTTCCATCTTCTTTTGAAGCTTTCTGCAACATTCAATATTTTTTCCACAGAATCTTTCAATATTAAAAACCGAGGTTTGGATTTTTTCTTCAGTTCTTTCTGCCTGAAAAGTGCATAATGTATTCTTCCCATTTGTTTTTCTAATTCCAGGTCTTTGCACATTTCACTATAACACTTGACTTGTCTTCTTGAGCAACCCTTTGAAATTTTCTGTTCAACTCTTTCACCTACTTACTTCTTCCATTTGATTTAGCATCTCTACACTGGGAAGCAAGTTTGAGTCTATTCTGAAACACATTTTGGTCTTTTATTTCTTTCTTGTCTTCTAATGACCTTTTGCTTTCTTCCTATATGGTATTCTTGATGTCATCGCACATCAAGATCCCACACTAGTCTTTAGTTATTAGTGCCTGGTGAATAAAATCTGTTCCTGAAATTATCTCTAAATTTAGGTGGGATGTATTGAAGGTAACATTTGGCTCCAGTGGACTAGTTTTAATTTTCTTCAGTTTCAGACTAAACTTGCATATGAGCAATGTATTATCTATTCCACAGTCTGCCCCTGCCCTTGTTTTGGCTGATGATATGGAACTTTTTCACCATCTCTTCCCACAAATGTAGTCAGTTTGATTTCTGTGTATTCCATCTGATGAAGTCCATATACATAGTCATCTTTGTGTTGTTTAAAAAGGTGTTTGCAATGAAGAAGTCATTGGTCTTGAAAAATTCTATCATGAGATTGCCAACCTCATGTCTATCACCGTGGCCATATTTTCCAACTACTGATCCTTCCTCATTGTTTCCAACCTTTGCATTCCATACACCAGTAATTATCAATACATCTCAATTGCATCTTTGATCAATTTCAGACTGAAGAAATTGATTGAATTCTTCAATTCCGTCATTGTTGGCTTTAGCGGTTGTGTAAATTTGCCACAGATTCCTTCAATATTGCATGTCAGTGCTTGATTTTTTTTCCGTCAGTTCTTTTAGCCTGAGAAATGCTGAGTGTGTTCTTCAATTCTTCAGTTTCATCAACATTGGCTCTAGTGATCGGTCGGTGTGTAAATTTGAATAATAGTGATATTAATTGGTCTTCTTGTAGGGGTATGGATATAATCCTACCGAAGACAGCATTGTACTTCAAGACTGGTCTTGAAATGTTCTTTTTGATGGTTAATGCTAGACCACTTTCTTCATGAATTTGTTATTCCTTATGATTATCAATTTTAAAAGGGCAAATACCAGTTCAATTCAGCTCATTAATGCCTGTGATATGGATCTTTATGCATTCCATTTTATTTTTGACAACTTCCAATTTTCCTAGATTCATACTTCATACATTCCATGTTCCAATTTTCAATGGATGTTTACAGCTATTTCTCTTAATTTTAAGTGGTGCCCATCATCAAATGAAGGTTCTGAAAGCTTTATACATTCACATCATCATGGTCAACTCTGCTCTTAGGAGGCAAGTCTTCCCCAGTCTTATTTTGAGTGCCTTCCAACCTAATGAGCTCATCTTCCAGCATTATAGCTGAAAATATTCTGGCGCTTTCCATCATCCTTCAAAATTCAATATTCCGATGCTGACAGTATTCCAATGCTATTTGTAAGGTTTTCAGTGACTAAACATTCAGAAATAGTTCACATCTCCTTCCTAATATGTTTTGGTCTGGAGTCTCCACTGAAACCTATCTACCACGGGTGACCCTGTTGTTATTTAAAATACCAGTGGCAAAGCTTCTAGCATTACAGCAGCATGCAAGCCACCACAATACAAAAATTGACTGAAACCTTATACAGGGTTTCTATGGGTCGGAAGTGATTTGATGGCACTTAACTTATATTTAACTTACGTTTACACTGGTCTCCTTTCTTACTGTCACTGCTCTCTCTTAATGCCTTAGATACACCAAAATGAAGACGGCCACCAACATCTATATTTTCAACCTTGCTCTGGCCGATGCCTTGGCAACCAGTACCCTGCCCTTCCAGAGTGTCAATTACCTGATGGGAACATGGCCATTTGGAACCATCCTCTGCAAGATCGTAATTTCCATAGATTACTATAACATGTTCACCAGCATCTTCACCCTCTGCACCATGAGTGTTGACCGCTACATTGCCGTCTGCCACCCAGTCAAGGCCCTGGATTTCCGTACCCCCCGCAATGCCAAAATTGTCAATGTCTGCAACTGGATCCTTTCTTCAACCATTGGCCTGCCTGTAATGTTCATGGCAACAACAAAATACAGGCACGGTGAGTAATGTCACAGCCTGAGGGATGGAGAGTGAGTTTATAACTTGACACATTTGTGATGTCATCATCCAAAATAAAATTTATAGAGTGGTCTAATGGTTGTTGTTGTGAAGTGCCATCAAGTCAGTTTTGACCCATAGTGATCCTGTATACGGTTTCCGAGAAGCAGCTGGTGAACTTGAACCACCAACCTGGCAGTTCAAACCAGCTTTGCAGTCCAGAGCATTAACCCACAGTGCCAAACCAAGACTCATGGTTGCACAGTAGTTAAGCACTCAGTGTCTAACTCAGTGTCTAACTCAGTGTTTGGCAGCTGTTTAAACCTGCCAAACTCTCTGCAGGAGAAAGTTGTGGCAGTCTACTTCCATAAAGATGACAGTCTTGGAAACACCATAGGGCACTTATACTCTGTTATATGGTGGTGGTGATGGTGGTTATGCACTATAGAATCAGTTCTGACTCTTAGCAACCTTGTATAGCGTTTCTAAGGCTGTAAAGCAGAAAGCCACATTTTTCTCCCACGGAATAATCAATTCTATTTTTTTATGTATAGAGTAGTTAAAAGGCGCCCTAGTGATGCTGTAGGGTGAGCACTGGACTGCTAACTGAAAGATTGGAAGTTCAAACCTACCAGCCCCTCTAAGGGAGATAAATGAGGTTTTCTGCTCCCACAGAGATTTGTAGCCTCAGAAACCCTACACAAGGTTATCATGAATCTGCTGCTACTTGATAACAGTGAGTTTTCTAGAGTAGCCATGAGTCAGAATCAACTCCATGGCAATGGGTCTGTATTGGGTTATATCTTAGACATACCGTAATTTTAAGTATTCTCTTCCTGGAAAATTGCCTTTGATTATTTTTAAATTACAAAAATTCCCATATAACATAAGACCATTACACTTTAATATAATCTACACTTAAACCTGTGGAGGCTGGAACCTATGTAGGATTACTTTCAGAGAAATAAAACTAAAATATTATCCACTAAACTGAGAAACAGAAAAGTGATAACACTACACCCTGTCAAAAGTGGAAAACTTTCAAGCTCTAATAAAACAAGGAAGTCCTCCCAAGTTCTGACTTTAACAGGTTTCACTGTATTTGTTTCCAATTTCTCTTTACTTACTTCATTCAAATGATGTGCAAATAAGAGCAGAGCTCTTATTTGTAGACCTCAAATCCTAATAGTCTTCTGTTCAGTCTAGTTTTAAAATCACAAGTGACTACATACATGACAAAATTGTCTTTCTAGTGCTATCAGGATGGACTATCCATTAAAAAGTTAAAGGATCCATTAGCTGGAAAACCTATAAACTTTAAACAATGATCATTATTGTTTAACAGTAGAGATCTCATATGGATTTAGTAAGAGGTCTGTACTTGTTGGCTGGGAGTCCTGGTGTGGTGCTATGGGCTAATGTGCGAGACTGCAAAGCTGTTTGAACTGCAAGGCTGGTGGTTCAAGCTCACTAGCTACTCCTCAAAAACCCTATGCAGGGTCACTATGGGTCGGAACCGACTCGACGGCACTTAACAACAACAAAACAACAACTTATTGACTGAGTGAAACTTTAATATGATAAAAATGGACATTGAAATGAGAAACTTAGAAAAATATATATATATAAGTATCTATCCATGAAAGTCAACAGAAAGCTGAGTTTCTCCCACAATCTCAACTCTTCCCTTACTAAGCAGTAATGACCAGTCTAGAGTTTGCTCCACTCAAAGCTAAAATGACACTATTAATACATATTTACATGATTAAAAGTTGTTGCTAATAATCCTTGACATTCTTTATTCTTCTAGGTTCCATAGACTGTACTCTGACATTCTCTCACCCAACCTGGTATTGGGAAAACCTGCTGAAAATATGTGTCTTCATCTTTGCCTTCATCATGCCTGTCCTTATCATCACCGTGTGTTATGGACTGATGATATTACGCCTCAAGAGTGTCCGCATGCTGTCTGGCTCTAAAGAGAAGGACAGGAACCTGCGGAGAATCACCAGAATGGTCCTGGTGGTCGTGGCTGTGTTTATCATCTGCTGGACCCCCATTCACATTTATGTCATCATTAAAGCCTTGATCACCATTCCAGAAACTACTTTCCAGACAGTTTCTTGGCACTTCTGCATTGCACTAGGTTACACAAACAGCTGCCTAAACCCGGTCCTTTATGCATTTCTGGATGAAAACTTCAAACGATGCTTCAGAGAGTTCTGTATCCCAACCTCCTCCACCATTGAGCAACAAAACTCCACTCGAATCCGTCAAAACACAAGAGACCACCCCTCCACCGCCAATACAGTGGATAGGACTAACCATCAGGTATGTGCTTTACAGATTTAGGTGGACCTACTAGGGAATCCTAAGGAGCTCTGGTAGTGTAATGGTTACAAATCGGGCTATGAACCTCAGGGTCAGCAGTTTGAAACTACCAGCTGTTCTGCGGGAGAAAGATGAGGTACTCCGCTCCCGTAAAGATTTACAGCCTTGGAAACCCTGTACAGGGTCGCTACGAGTCGAAACTGACTCCACGGCACATAACAACAACACTAGGGAGTCCTGGTGTGGTACTGTAGGATAAACATTGGACTGATAACCAAAAGTCAGTGGTTTAAGCTCACGAGCCACTCCTCAGAAACGCTATACAGGGTTGCAATGGGTTGGGACCTACTAAAGGGCACTTAACAACAACAACTAGGTGTGACATAGAAATTATACCAACATAAGATGTGAATTCAGCATTTATAAGGGAATCCTACAGCACCACACTAGGTTAAACACATTACGCAATTGAAAATACCATAGCATAACTTGAGTCAGGGGCACCTTTGTACACAAACTGGTATCTTTGTTTTTAATCCATCAGGAGGTAATTTACAGCAAATTTGTCCAATGTAAAATGTCTTCAATTTCTTTTTTTTCTTTTGGAATTTCTTTGTGTGAATTGTGTTAAGGTTTGCAAAGAAGACCATCAGTTTTAGATTCAACAAATCATGCGCTTGTTTCATCTCAATGATTGCAATGCCCTACATGTAATAACAGTTATTCCACTTCCCCTTTGTGCTTATTTCCATTCCATCCTCTTTCCCATCCCTTCCCAACTTGGTCCTTAAGTAAACGTTACCCTTTTGATCTTGAATGGTTGACCATTCCATGGTGACCTTATCTTACTAGTGGTGTTGTCTCTCCTATCTACTGCATAGCTGAAAATTGGGCCACCAGAGGGAGATTTGTTCCAGAGATGAAGCTTGGCCGAGGGCCATAGTCTTGGGTCCCTCCAGTCTATTCCTGACAAAGAAGCAGGCCTTTTTTAATGTAATTTTTAATTTTGTTCCACAGTTTCTCACACTCTACCCAGGAGTCTTGACTTCTTGATTGCTGCTTCTATGAATATTGATTGTGGATCCAATTAAAATGAAATCATTGACAACTTCAACCTTTCTTCCATTTATCATGATATTATTTATTTGTCCAGTTGTAGGGTTTTTGTTTTTTTTACATTGAGATGCAATCCATATTGAAGGCTATGGTCTTTACTCTTCATTAGTAAGTGCTTCAATTCCTCTTCACTGCCAGCAAGAAGGTTGAGTCATCTGCATATCATAGGCTGTTTATGAGTCTTCCTCCAATCCTGGTGCCACATTCTTCTTCATACAACCCAGATACTCAGATTATTTGTTCAGCATATATATATATATATTGAAGAACTATTGTCAAACCCTAGTGCGCACTTTCTTGATTTAAAACCATACTATATCCCCTTGTTCTATTCAAATGATGGCCTCTTGGTCTATCTACAGGTTCCTCATGGGCATAATTAAGAAGTCTGTTTTTCCTTCTTCCTAGTCTGTCCTAGTGTGGCGATGTGGGTTAATGTGCTGGACTGCAAAGTCAGTTTGAACCACAAGGTCAGCGGTTCAAGCTCACCAGCCACTCCTCGGAAACCCTATATAGGGTTGCTATGGGTCAGAACTGACGCTGCAGCACTTAACAACAATCTGTCGTAGTCTGGAAGCTCTACCGAAACCTGTCCATCATGGGAGACTCTGCTGGTGTTTACAATACTGGTGACATGGCTTCCATCATCACAGCAACACACAAGACACCACAGTGCAACAAACTGACAAATGAATGTTAGGTCATAATACTGTTGTTGTTTTTAAGTGCCTTCCAGTTCATTCCGACTCATAGCGGCCGGTGGCTTTGAACTGCTGACCTTGCAGTTCAAACCAACCTTGCAGTCCAGTACATTATCCCACAACACCACACAAGGACTCTAAGGACATTATACTGTCAGTATTAGGTCTCAAGGAGTGGCCATGTTTTGGAAGATGTATTGTATTCGTATACACAAAAGATTCAGGATTTGTGCACAATAATAAAATCACCTGTGAAATACAAGAGGAAGGAGAAAACAAGTCTCCAATTGAATATTACTTTTACAAAACCACTGATTTTCAAATTTTGACATATAAAATAAATCAGGAATATTACTTAATATTAAATTAAGTGAATTTTCAAATGATGCATCAGCACTCAAAAGCTGCCCTCAGATAAATATTCAAGGTCTTTGTGTCCGAGTACCTCCTCCTTGAAGATGATTGGAAAGCAAAGTCAACAAGAAGCAAGGGGAGGGTGGAGGCTTCACTCAGCACAGCTGCTCCCTCTCTATTTCTTCACTAATTTCCATCCTGATGTCCACACCTGCCCCTCACTACAGCTACTTACCTCTGCCCAGGCTACCCCCAGTTTACCATGGCACTAATGCAATATTAATTATCTTACCCCTACTATTAAATAACACCACAATGAACACAGGAACCCATATTCCCTGGAGGGTGTGAGGTAATGATGGCCAACCCACTTACAACTAGAAAGGAAATTATTAACTTATTATGTCTCGCTTGTAATTCCATTTCAGAAACAGAAGCCAGAAAGAAGGTTTCCTACTCTGCCTACTTTTCTATATTTTTATCCACTTCAAGGTCTCTACACCTGCTCCTTATAGTCAGCTCATCTGCTTTCAGCAGTTATCAAAATCTTCTGAGTAATGTCAAGAGGGGAGAGCTTTAAGAAGAGTTTCTCCAAACTAAGAATGACATATATTTTTTAAATATCTTTATTCTGCTTAAAATCTGGTGTATGAGGAACAAATAACTGATGATATTTGCCTCTTTTCCTTGACTTCTAGGGACTGAGACTCAATTTGCAGTACGTCTATAGCAAGCATATAAGGCTTTATGACACTTATTTTTAGTAGCCAGGCTGTTAACCTTGAAGTCAGCAATTCAAAACCACCAGTGTTTCCATGGGAGAAAGATGAGGCTTTCTGCTCCCATAAGGATTTACAGCCTCAGAAACCCTATGCAGGGTCATTATGAGTCAGAACCGACTCCACAGCACATGACCATCACCAGCAACCTTACTTTTGAATTCATTTTATTTCCCTATAATTATTTTCCCTTCTCTAAATTTCTTGTTTTTAGTCTAGCACAAGCATTTTTATTACAAAAAGAAGGCAGTCATTGCATAAAATTGGAAAACAGATAAAACAACAAAACGGGCAGGGTGACAAATCCTTGTCATGCTGATTCAACCACTATGGGATAGTAGTTATTAGCATTTTCTATTTTATTACACATGGCAGTCTTCAAAAACATTTCTGAATATCATAATTCACAATTATAGAGGCCATGTTATTAAAGAAAAGAAAATTATTAAGATGAAATAAGTGGTGAGTCTGTCCTGTATTAAGTATATCATAACACAGAATATGCTGTTGTGGTATCCTGATCTTCATGTTTCAAATGAAAATAATGTATAAGCTCTTTCTTTTAAATAAGAAAATAAATATGCATTGTTTCCCATCTAATACTTGAAAAACAAATAAGTAACAGATAAAAAAAATAGAGAAAGCAATTTCCCTTCTTTTTTCCCCTTCCCCATCACCCAAGTTAGTAAGTGTCTACACTATTGTTGTTGTTAAGTGCCGTTGAGTCGGTTCTGACTCATAACAACACTGAATAGGTTTCCAAGGAGTGGGTGGTAAATTTGAACTGCCAACCTTGTAGTTCAAATCGACCTTGAGGTCTAGTGCTTTAGCCCACACCACCCCAATAGGACTCGTAACTTTACGCAGTGAATAATTTTCTCTTTCCTCCTACCCTGTTAACCATTATAGATAGTTTATTATAGAATGAAATCCTTTTCTTGACTCTTTATGGTAGTGGTCTCATGTAATACCTGTCCCTTTGTGATCAACTAATTTCACTCAGCATAATGTTATATGGTGTTCTACAGATTCATCATTATTCTTCATTGGTGTGTAATATTCCATTGTGTGTAGGTACCACAATTTGTTCAATCAATCCTCTACTGATGGGCAGCTAGGCTGTCTCCATATTATTGATGTTGTGAATAGGCTTCAATGGCCTTGGGTGTGCATATATTTACTTGTGTTGTTTCTCTTACTTCTTGAGGATATATAGCAAGTACAGCAATTGCTAGTTAATACAGTACTTCTATTTCCAACTTTAGGAAAAATACCATACGACTTTCCACAGAGATTACATCATTTTACACCCCACAAGCAATGTAAGAGGGTTCTGTACTTTCCACATCTTCTCCAGCTTTTGTTGTTTTCTATTTCTTTGTTTTTATAACTTTGCTATTAATATTGGTGTTAGACGATATTTCATTGCTGTTCTGATTTGCACCTCTCTAATGGCTAGTGATTGTGATCATTTCTTCATGTTTGTTGACCCCCTGAATGTCTTCTTTGGTGAAATATCTGTTCGTGTCCTCTGCCCATATTTTTATTGAATTATTTGTCTTCTTATTGAGGTGTTAAATTTTCTATAAATGTTAGACAGTATTTCTTTGTTTTATATGTTATTGACAATTTTTTTTTTTCCTAGTCTGTGAGTTCTCTTTATACTCCTTTGGTGAAACCTTTTGATGCACAGAAATATCTAATTTCTAGGTGGTCCCAGTCATCTGTTTTGCCTTCTGGACATGTATCAATTGTGTTTGATAGTATATAAATGACATGAATCAGAGCACGTAAATTCTCTCTATTTTTTCACTGTTGATCTTTATAGTTCTAGTTTTTACATTTAGGTCTTTAATCCATGTTAAGTTTGTTTTTGTATATGGTGTGAGATATGGGTCTTGTTTCATTCTTCTGCAAATGGATTTAATATAAGGGTAACAGATTAAAGGATACAATTGAAAACTCTCACTTTTACATGAAGGTTAAACTATTTTAATTTACTAGGGTAAAAAAAATGACCATTTTAAAGTACTGGTTCTTTCCCATTAAG